TGGTATGTGTGGGTGGGTGTACATGTACATGTACTGCATTTTGATGTAATATATTCCATTTATACAGTAGATAAACATTTTAGTGGTGTTATATTTTATATTTTAGATGGTTCTTTTTCCTCCTCTAGTTGTTTTGCTACTGGTTCTTGTGATGGTACTTCTATCATATGGAGATACTCCAGTTCCCAATGGTCCAGTATTGTACTGGTAGCTAGTGTTGATCAACAGCTAATGTATGTTTACTGTATCATAATACTTACACTAATGAATGCATGTACATGTACAATGTAGAAATGTTGTGTAGAAAGTTTTAGTTGATTTCGATGAAGTTTGAATGTCTTTACAAATTTTTAAAGTTGCTTCAAAATTAGGCCAATATCCCTGTACTATAGTGCACGGTCACAGGCCAAAGTTTGCTAAAATTGAAAAAGAGAGAATTCTCAATTTTTATGATATTTTCTGATACATGTACATGTTCTGATGTTGCATAGAAAGTTTCAGCTGATTTCGATCAAAATTAGATTTTTTAATGAATTTTTAAAAGTTGATCCAAAATGGGCCAGTTTCCTGATACATGTACTGTACATCCAATATTATATAAAGTGATAGTATCTCTCTCTCTCTCTCTCTCTCTTTCCTCCAGTTCTGCTGCCAGTAAATTTGATAATAAAACAAACCAAGTGACCATGATATGCTGGGAGAGATTAACTGATAGTTACCTAGCAACAGGCCACACCCCTGACTGCAATATAAGGATATGGAACACCAGCAATGGGGAAATGGTATCACTATTAAAGGTGAAGGGCATTCTGTTTATTATCATTATTGTATTGGAGTTGGGAATTTCTGCTATACAGTGCTATTAATTAATTATTAATTAATTAATTATTCATAGGGTCATACTAATGAAGTTTTTGTTGTTGAATGTCATCCAAAGGAACCAAGAATATTATTAACTGCAGGTAGTTATTAATAGTTTATTTATTAATAGTTATAAGCAATTGTTATTAAGTGGTTATTAATAGTTATGATTGCTTTATTCATTAGTAGTTATTAATAGTTATTAATAGTTTATTTATCAGTAGTTATTAGTGGTTATTAATATGGGTGTGGTCTCAATAGGTCATGATGGTCAGGTTATTATTTGGGATATGCTGGCAGCTGTTCAACTGAAGGTCTTTCAAATTGAAGTGAGTTAATTATTAATAGTTTATTATTAATTATAAATACATGTACATGTACACTAATAATGGACTAAATTAATGATAATTTTTAGTAAGGATCAGTACTGAAAATTTACATGTTTTCACATTGAATTGGTTGATAACTTTCACTTAAAGTTTAGTTACTTTTACTTCAAATTAGGCGACACTTTTTGTTAATTTTCACTCCAAAAGTAGGCAACAATTTTCACCTTAATATTTGCTAATTTATTTACACAACATAAGTACATGTACAAGCATCATAAAGTATACTTAAACTATTATTATACATACCCTCCCCTACCTACCTAATGCACTGTACTGTATTATTATGAATACCCTCCCCCTCCCTACCTAATGCACTGTACTGTATTATTATGAATACCCTCCCCCTCCTCCCCTACAGTATAAGGATGAAGGTGTTCCTTGTATATTTGACTGCAAGTGGTCACCTGATGGTCTAACTGTAGCAGCTGCTGACATCTTTGGATATTTAACAATATTTGGATTTGGATCAAGCACTCCTTATGAACAAGTAATAATAATAATAATAAATTTATTATTATTATTATCATAGCACCCAGAAGAGCAGTTCTTTCACACTGATTATCGTCCGTTAATGAGGGACAGGAATAATTATGTGGTAGACGAACAAACTCAATTACCTCCTCATCTGTTACCACCTCCTTATTTGGTAAGAGTGGGCGGGGCACTAATAACAACTGCCACACCTACTCATGTATAACACACGATTTAGCAAAGAGAGTGTTATATATGTACATGTATTTATTAGACTGTACTGTATAAGTGGTTTTTAGGGTTGCAAATTTTGTGAATTTTGAAAATTCCTTTCTGATTTGTGAAAAAAAATTCTCAATTGGAAATTTAGTAGATTTTACAAAATATAATTTCCTTGAAAAAAAACGACTTACATGTACATGTACACAATATAGCAAAGAGAAAGTTGTACATGTACATGTAGGTATGTGTACTGTAGATGTTTTATTAAAGTTTTATTAACGTGTTTATTGGACTGTACATGTGCATGTAATTGTACTTTTAATATTTATAATTCTTCATTCTCCTCCTCTTCCTCCTCCAGGTGGATATTGATGGTCACCCGTACCCAGTGAAGTACCAGGAGAGTATACTGAAGCACTTAAGAACAGGAACTAACGCCCACTCACTATCAGCTGATAGACCCATTGATGATACTGAGGACTATGATGAATATATGAGGAAACACTTTGCACAGTTTGATAAAGAACGGAAAACCTTTCAAGAGAGGAACAGGAGATCAACCCAACCCACTGCCATGCCCACCGAGAGTGATGTAACACCTTCCTTATTAGGAGTTATGGCTCCACCCACTAACACAAGTACTAACGATACGGCACAAGATAACAGGTAATTGAAATTAAATAATTAATTAAAATACCGTATAGTGTAAATTTTCAAGGGCTAT